CTGGTAATTCTGACAGAGAGGCACTGGGTGTCTCCACGAGACCACCATGTGAATTTGGTGTTACCAGTCACTTACTCTGTTGTTATTGTACTGCTTCCCACAGTATACAATGATCTAAGAATGAACAGAACCCTAACTACTGTTTTAAGAACTTATATATAACAACTCTTAAGCCTGTATATTCAACTGGTGTCAGGAAAAATGGCAACCTTGTACATCAGTTTGGAAAGGTCGAGAGACGATAAGCATTTACAGCCATCAAGTTTATTGTTCTGATCACCAGAACGTCTAGGTATACCTGGAGGTCAATCTTATTAATGTTTGCCTTACATCTATTAATTAGTAATCAGTCCCCCAGCCTAGGAGCAGGTGATGAGCACCGTAGCCTTCTACTGCCTGCTGTACAGGATTCCAGTCTTCAGATTATGTCCATGACGATCAGTGTGCTGGTAAAGCCACTAGATGGTGAAACATCTACAAAATAAATATACTTAGATGTTGCACACGTGTCTAATTCATCATGTCTGTATTGCATGGCACTTTAATACACGCTGCCTCTGTATACTCGCCAACAGAATGACCAACACTTAAGTTAATGCAACCCCACTTAAAACTATTTTGCAATTATATAACGTAGAGGCAAAAAATTATTTAACGAGAATAGATACACCAGCAGTGTGCTGCTATCCTATTCTACAAGTTACAAAAGTCATATTTCATCAAGAAGGATGAGAAAGAGAGGATGAGATAAGGGGGTATGCATAGATAGGTACCTCTCCTAAGGCACCCACACAAGACCAAGTCCTGCCAACACTAATGGATCTTCAACCTTACACTGGGCCAATTAGTGTTAATCCAAGATACCCACTCAGAACAATCACTACTCGACCGAAATACTATCAACTGCACATCTCTATTACTGTGTTCTTGAAGGAGTGTTAAACTGAAAGGGGTCATAGTGCCCAGAAGGGCTCTTAATCCAAGGAATCAGTTACCTAACCCTTCCTCAAATCGAACCTGATTTCCTTAAGTGCTCCCCCATGAATACAATAATGCCTCGCAGAAGCGATGCTTCTTCCTCTCTGGACCTATGCTTTTTTTTAAAAAAGATATATCCTGGAAAATATGAGATAATGAGAGACCAGGCTAACAAAAGAGCTAATTTTGACATTGATTATTATCTATAATATCCTCAGACTCTCCATATAATTACAGTACGAATTTTGCACGGTGGTTAATTTTGGAAGGGTTTTATCTTGTGTTATACAACCTAATCATTTCTTTGATGTTAATAATTAAATTCTGAAAATGATGCCCACCTTTAAAACAGAGCAGCTCATTTGCAGAGTGAGGGAAGTTGGGGGGAAGAGATTTATACAAGAGAAAAATGGAAAGGGTTGCAAAAATCTGTTCAATCAAGGGAGGAGTTTGTGTGAGATAAGTGAGAAGGGTATGGGTGAGTGAAGTGAAAAGTGAGAAAGGCAGGGTGACAGAAGTGAAAAATGAGGGGGAAGGGCGAGAGAAGTGAAAAATTAATGACAGGGTAAGGCAAGAGAAAATGAAAGGGGGGTGCAGAAAAACTGAGATGACTAAGTAAATGGTGACAAGAGTGATGACTGAACCAACACAAGACTGAAAGCATTACAGTCCATGCAATCAAGTATCATGGAGGGAGGATGAAGAGAGCATAGGGATGAAGGTGAGGAGAGACAGGAGGGGTGATCTGAGAGAAGTGGGGTAGGGTGAGAGGAGGGAGGTGAGATGAGGCAGGGTGTAAGAATTAATGATACAAGGTGAACAGGGTTGATTTATAAGGGAGGAATAGTTAGGGCCAAGGAAAATAGGCACAGATGGGAAATGGGGTAGGACTTTGAAATTTTTGAAAAGAGTGTTCTCAAAAGTATCTCACTATCAGTAAAAGCAATGTCACTGTCTACACTGTCAGACATATCATCTGTACAATGTACACCATTACACATGGAATTAACATTCACAAAATAGAAAAGGTATTCAGGGATATTGATAAAGACCAGAAGAGGTGGCCATGAAGGAAGGGATATTTCTTCTGAGTTGGTATTCTTACAGGACAAGTATTGCTAGTGGGCAGTTAGTGGGGACAACCAATGACAGACCACATTCCAGTAAGTTTGTTCCAATTCTTGTGCATGAGTGTCACTGGCCCTGCTAGTTCTTTATCCATATTTATCCAGCTTGGACCAAAGAAAATAAGGTGAAGAAATTTGTGTGGATATATTTGATAATGAAGGGTTATTGCCATTTGAAATGAATCAGTATAATTAAATATTACTCATCACAAATTTCTTAAGTAAACATTTGATTCTGGATAAATATGGGTAAAGGACCAACAGGAACAGCATCACTCATGCATGAGAATTCGGAAAGATCATACAGGAGTGTCCCTAGTTAATGGGTGTCTCTGATGTTCCTTAATATCTTAATCATTCATTAGGTTAATAATCAAAGCTGTAATTCCTCTCTACCAAACTTATTAAAGCCATATAGCATGATTTAATAAAATATTCAGTTCTCTTGTATTCATCATAACTCACCTAATGACCATATGTACAATTACTGCACTGTTAATGCCTTATGAATCTTAAGTTAGTCCTGAGTCTGCCTGAAATACTCTGCATATAAAAGGGCTTTTGGCATGTACACCCAACCGTTATATTCCTTTGCACAAACATGTCTTCTGCTTTCAACAAACCAGCCATATCCCAGTGAGGCAGGGTAGCCCAAAAAGAAAAACGAAAGTCTCTTTTTAACTGTATATACAGGCAAAGGGGTTACTAGCCCCTTGCTCCTGGCATGTTAATCGCCTCTTATGACATGCATGGCTTACAGAGGAAGAATTCTGTTCCAATTCCCCATGGAGGTAAGAGGAAATATACAAGAACAAGAACTAGTAAGAAAATAGAAGAAAACCCAGAGGGGTGTGTATATATATGCTTGTACATGTAAATGAAGTATAACCTAAGTATAAGTAGCAAGACATACCTGAAAACTTGCATGTTTATGAGACAGGAAAAAGGCACAAGCAACCCTAGCATCAGGTAAAACAATTACAGGCTTCCATTTTACACTCACTTGGCAGGACAGTAGTACCTCCCTGGGCTGTTGCTGTCTACCAACCTACTACAGTACGTACTTGTACAAACATGTGTCATGCTAAAATAAAATTATTATTATTATGTATCCCATGAAGATATCAGACTGACAGGAAAATCTTAAGTAGTACTGTATTCTGTGGTGACTGGTTACACATACAACAGGATAATTGAAAAATCTGTAACCTAAAAACCAGATTGATGAATAATTCAGAGTACAGTATTGGTAAGTATATTTTAGATCAAACAAGAGCCCCCAATTCACACTTGTGTTTACATACACGATAATAGCTCACTATTAACATCTCCATGGGAGATTTCGACTATCCGTATTTAAAAGTTTCTACATCAAAGTGTCAGATCAGTTCACTGAGCAACACTCATATTCAGGGTACACTGTGAAGGCTTGTGGGCACAAACTTGGTCTAGATCCAGCATCCATTTTTCACTGGCAGGAGAATGTGGAACATTTGCACACAATCTCCCACTGAAAGAACAAAAAGGCACAATATTGTGACTAGATGCTGGCAGACTATGCCAGTCAGCTAACATGCAGGCACCTACTTACTGATAGGTGAACAGAGGCAGATCATGTAAGAACTCATACCTAACCTTTGTCCAGGGGATCAAACCCTGGATGATCATTGTGCAACCTGTGGTTGTTACTGACTGAGCCACCTGTTGTGAGGTTGAGGTTTGAACATAGTGTGCTGGAGAGATATACAACTGCTCTACGCTGTTTAGTGATAGCACTGTGTCGTGTCATCTACTGCTGTATCTTAAGTGTATCCTTCCAGCTAGACGGTTACATCTTGACTGAGCTATACTCTGTGGCGAGCCAGGGGTTTTGAAATGGAGGTCAGCATCAGTGACCTTCATATTTGTCAGCCACAACACTAACAACTACACCACCAACATACCAACCCTACATAAACAGTGTATATTTCAATCGCGGCCGAGACCTTTTACGTGCAAGTTTTCTCGATTAGTAAACAGCTGTCTACTGAACTCTGATAATTCAAATCCCAGCTATTATATTAACTGGGAGTGCTAAACCTATTGATTTATACAATAAGTAAGTTTATTCAGGTATACACAAATAGAGTTACATAGCTCATCATACATAGCAATACACGTGTAGAGAACAAAGGATAACCCCAAAAAGTGATTTCCACTGGGGTCCTTGACCCCAATGTATGATATTGATGATGATGATGATGATGATAATAATAATTCTCAATGGGAAGGTAGAAAAGAGCTGTTCCTCCATAAGCCAAATGTATCATAGGAGGCAACTAAAATGCCGGGAGCAAGGGGCTAGTAACCCCTTCTCCTGTACAAATTACAGGAAAAAAAACTTTAATTTTACTTCTTAGGTCACCTTGCCTCGGTGGGATACAACCAATATCTCGAAAAAAAATACCAACATTAGGTATGGGGGGGGGGACATCATAATACTTCCCCAGCCTAGGGTGTCAACCCACCATCACCTTAACCCCCACCATCACCTCTTAACATACACCACACACAACCTCAACCTCATCCAGATGAACAACTCACCTCGATCAAATTTCTTGCCATCAGGATCGATGTCCTTAACGTCGAAAATATCTTCAAAGAGAATACCAGCCATGCTGACCACTACCAATGTTTACAAAGTGTAGACGACACCACAAACTTTACTAAAATAACCTCAACCTCACCTCAACACCTATTATAACCCACTAAAACCCCATTACTTACATTAACCTCACGACAATTACAACATTATAACCAGACTGGTAAAATGGGTTTATTATATTAAGCTAAAACATATTTTTGGTTAATTTATGGATGGTAAATATAGTTTTGATGAGTTTAGAAGAATAAGGTTGAAGGGTAAACAACAGAGCTACACAACTGCCTTGTTAGAGGTACCTCGGTAGTTACCTTGTTATATTTACCTTATTTACCACTGTATTAACAGTTAACCTGGTGATTGTTACTTGTGTAAGTGTTGTACATGTGTACATGAGGTGTGTGTGTATTAAGACTGTGTAGCCGGTTGGTTGAAGGGCACCTAAGGGCATACTTTATATTTTAATAAAAATGAAGGACACAGCAGTAGGCCTACTGGCCTATGTTAGGCAGGTCTAACTCTCACCTACTCATGTATATGTTCAAATTATATTTAAAGCTACCCATAGTTTTTGTTTCAATGATACTACCTGGGAGTTTCTTCTACTCATCTACAACTCTATTGCCAAACTATTACATAAAGAAGGAGCACTGCAGCAGTCCTACTGGCCCATGCGAGGCAGGTCCAATTCTCCCACCGGCTTACTTCCCTATATCCCTTTCCTAAATCTAAATTGCCCAACTTAAATGCATTGCTGTGCATCTTATCATGGATAGACTTTTTAATACACTATATTCCCTTTAACATTATACAAAGTTATCACAGTACGAAATATTTACTAATATGTTATTTTGTATGACAATTGTACTTATGTGGCTCCTCAAAGAAGGTTCCTTGATGCTGGTGAAGGGCTCTTGATCTAGGGAATTGGATCTGTGCTCCAGTTCCCTGAATTAAACCTGAATACCTCAACATCACCCCCACAGGTGCTGTATAATCCTACAGGTTTAGTGCTTCCCCTTGATTATAATAATAATATACTTATATGTACCTGTACTTGATAAAGCCCACCGTTTGGTTGAAACGTCGTCAATAAAGGATCGCACTATACTGCATTTGTGCTTATTTTTCCACCGTGTGGGTATTATATGACTTATCACCATCTAAATAAACTTATTAGCAACAGCCACAGCCAACACAGTATGCCCATTCCACAGAAATCTAATATCAACATTATAGTAGTTACCACCAAGACCGTGCAGGACTTTACCTCTAATCTATACACCGGCCCCAAGGATGCAGGGGTTTACAGCATTCCCTATAAGGGATGTTACAAAATCTGCATTGAGACAGCTAGAAGTTTGCATATTCATCTACAGGGGCATAAATATGCCTGTAGAATAGATAACATCAGTAATGCATGTCTGCAACCCTGCAACTCTCAATGGCAGAGGATAAAGTCAAGTTGCTGCTCCAAGAGAACATTAAAGCTCAGCATAGGTGCAATCATCCACAATTAAACTTACAAATGCATTCAAGTAAAGCCATTGGATGTTTGCTTTAGCATTCCCTATAATATACATTGTGTTAGAGCAAAATAAACCTAATGTACCTGACTTATGCACTGGATGGCTAAGCTGGGTGTACAGGTGGAACCTGCTATGCAGTGCCTTACGTTACAGCATTTTGTCAGTGCAGTGGTTTTTAATTATAGCCGTTCTTTATTCAGACTTCCTGCAGTAAATATATTCACCACTCATTATAAGCTATGGACAAAAATATTTTAAGGGAAGTAATATATATGCAATTTATAGGCCTAGCTCTATTGCTCACTTAATGTATGATACTATAAACATGTTATCAGGCTTTTATATGCATTTGAAAGTGAAAGAAAGACTATGCTTCACCTTACAGTGGTTTTCGCTTTACAGCAGTAGCCCGGAACCTAACCTGCTGTATAAGGGAGGTCCTACAGTGGTCCGGAACCTAACCTGCTGTATAAGGGAGGCCCTACAGTGGTCCGGAACCTAACCTGCTGTATAAGGGAGGCCCTACAGTGGTCCGGAACCTAACCTGCTGTATAAGGGAGGCCCTACAGTAGCCCGGAACCTAACCTGCTGTATAAGGGAGGTCCTACAGTGGTCCAGAACCTAACCTGCTGTATAAGGGAGGCCCTACAGTGGTCCGGAACCTAACCTGCTGTATAAGGGAGGCCCTACAGTAGCCCGAAACCTAACCTGCTGTATAAGGGAGGCCTACAGTGGTCCGGAACCTAATCTGCTGTATAAGGGAGGCCCTACAGTAGCCTGGAACCTAACTTGCTGTATAAGGGAGTCCCTACAGTAGCCCAGAACCTAACCTTCTGTATAAGGGAGGCCCTACAGTAGCCCGGAACCCAACCTGCTGTATAAGGGAGGCTCTACAGTAGCCCAGAACCTAACCTGCTGTATAAGGGGGGCCCTACAGTAACCCGAACCTAACCTGCTGTATAAGGGAGGCCCTACAGTAGCCCGGAACCTAACCTGCTGTATAAGGTAGGCCCTGCAGTAGCCTGGAACCTAACCTGCTGTATAAGGGAGGCCCTACAGTAGCCCAGAACCTAACCTGCTATATAAGGGGGCCCTACAGCAGCACAGAACCTAATCTGCTGAATAAGAGGGGCCCTACAGTAGTCTGGAACCTAACCTGCTGTATAAGTGGGGCCCTACAGTAGCCCGGAACCTAACCTACTGTATAAGTGGGGCCCTACAGTAGCCTGAAACCTAACTTGCTGTATAAGTGGGGCCCTCCTGTATATCATATCTGTTATGTGCTTGAAAAAAAACATTGGCAAAACATTCTAAAGGATTTCACTGCAATTAGTGTCTTTATCGCTATTTGTTGGCTGAACAGATACTGAGAAATGTTTCTTTCCAAATAGTGCTAGAATATAAAAAAATTGAAACAATAATAACAATAACAATCTATTTCAGTATGATATAATGTTGGTATTGGTCGGCCATTGCTAATCCGGCAATCAGTTATCCGGTTCCATCAGTAATCCAGCACTAATTTCGGCTAGCATAATTTAAAATTTCATCATTATACTGACTCAAATTTCATCATTATACTGACTCAGAAATTGTGCAGATGGTTGTAAATCCACAGCAGCAAGCCAGTGGAGGAGAAAGCAGTGATGAAAATGAGGAAGATGTAGCCGAGTCTCTATTGATAGGTTAATTAACCCTTTGAGGGTTGGTCACATACATTGCAGCCAGGGTCGGTCACGTACTTATACGCGTAAATTCTAGTGCCTTCAAATTGAGCGGGAGAAAGCTGGTAGGCCCACATGTGAGAGAATGGGTCTGTGCAGTTTGAAAAAAAATCGTGGAGCCGTGGTGCATTGTGGGAATGCCATTTGTGTACGCCTTATTCACAATGCCTTGTGGTAAGAAACACCTCACTCCTCGGCGAATTGAGACTCCTTTGTTCCCAAGTGACAGTTCAAACACAGATGGAAGTGTCAGTGAAGATGAATTCCAGGGTTTTGACAAGTTTGTGACCGAAAATAATGAACCTAATAGTGGTAATAGTGATGAAAACCCAGACGACCCTCAACCTTCCACCTCTGCTGCTGAGCCATCTTGTTCATGTCCAGTTGTACCAGAACGAAAGAGGAAACTTGTATTTTCCCATATCCAGGACTCAGATGTGAGCAGTGCTGATGATAGTGATAGTGAATATGATCTCCAAGCTCTTGAAAACAGTTCCAGTAGCGGGAGTGAAGTGGAGTATTCTCCAGTGAAGCGTCAGTATATACGACGCTACATGCACTTTGGTAGTGTGCCATATGCTGTGCCAAGGGTAAGGAGTGCATCTCAAAGTACATCCCGTGGCCATACAACAGGGGTAGATAGTGAAAATGGCGATGATATTGTTACAGTGGGGATGAAAAGTGTGCATGCGTCATCAGATGGTGGTAGTGGTGGTGCCAGCCATGAGGCACCAGCAGCAAGCCATGTTGGTACCCACGCTGCTGGGTCAGCTCAGCTACAACAAAGCCCACCCTCACTCACCCACCCACCACACCAACCTCTACAATCACAACCTCCGCAACCACAACCTCCACAACCACGACCTCCACAGCCACAACCTCCACAACCACGACCTCCACAACCACAACCTCCACAACCACAGCCACCTGTCAATATCCAGTATCCACCAGCAGGCCGCACCTGGGATTGGCAGGAAGCTGACAATTTTGTTCCCAATCCCCATCACTTTGATGAAAGTCAAAGTGGACTATGGCCATCTTGTACACTTGGAACAATGCCACTGAACTGGAATGTTTTGAGTTATTCTTTGACGAACCCCTGATGGAAATTATTGTCAGGGAAAGCAACACATACTACGAATACACTATGGCAAACACAATTCTTTCACCAAGATCACACCTACACCAGTGGAAGGAGACAACTGTGGCTGAGATGTATCTTTAGCTTGCCACAATAATGCTTATGCCACATGTGTATAAGCACAGTGCCAGATCATACTGGTCGACAGACCGCCTCATTGCAACCCCAGCTTTTAGTGGTATAATACCAGTGAATCGATTTGTGCTACTGTTACGTATGCTACACTTCTCAGACAAAACCAGGCCTGACAGAAAAGACAGGTTATATAAGATTAGAAATGTGTTTAGGTGTCTGAAACAGAAATTCAATATGTATTTTTATCCCTTCAGGAAGCTTGTTATTGATGAATCTTTGATTCTGTTCAAAGGTAGACTGTCGTTCAAGCAGTATATACCAAGCAAGAGGAAACGCTTTGGTATAAAGTTGTTTGTACTTTGTGATTGCTACAGTGGTCTTGTATTGGATATTATTGTGTACACTGGAAGTAATACATTGCAAGATATCAGGAAGTTATTGAGTAACTCTGGTGATGTGGTTAGAACAATGATGGAACCATATCTTGGTAAGGGGCATATATTATATACTGATAACTGGTACACAAGCCCCTTACCCAGTGATTTTTTACGAGTGAACATGACAGATGTGTGCAGTACAGTGCGTGCAAATTGTAAACATATGCCTAGGTTCAACGCAGGCACTCATAGAGGTGTGGTGCAAGTGTTTTCTGCCAATGACATCATGGCATTTCGGTGGTATGACAAACGAGATATCACACTGTTGTCATCAGTTCACCGAAACAAAATGACGGACACTGGCAGGCAGAATAGAGAGACCAATGAACCCATTCTAAAACCTGCAGCTGGGATGGACTACACCCCCTCAGTATGACATCTCAGTGGAACATAAATGTAACTTTTCAAATTGGGTTTGCTGATTGTGTTCGTAAGAGTATATAAGTGGTACATAAACATATTTTCATCATCCTGTGGAGCATTGATCTACTCTTGCTGAATGTTCTTTATAATGTGTATAAAGGTGGATTTAGACCAGAAACAAACCACCATATGGTCAATGAATCGTTTTTGTCTATTAATCAGACAAATATTATTCAAGTAACCCGAGGTACCACCAGATAACCTGCAATAAGTCAACTGCCTCGAGACTGATCAACAATTACCCTTGTGAGGCCTGGTAATCCTTGTCCCAGGATGGCCGCACTGCCGTTGAAGAAACAGGTACAGATTGAGTGTTTGTCTGTGACATACAGGGAAGGAAAGCGACCCACAAAAACGCCGGGAAGAACGGGCCTCGTTTATGTGAGAGGGAGTGTTAAAACACCACTGTGCATGACACCGTGTTTCAAAGAGTTTCACAAGCTTCAGAACTTCTAGAAACATGTCCAGTGACTCTATATGTCTATATATAATATAGAAAAATAGTAATAAACAACATTTTATGTTGTTGGTTTGTGTAAACATGTTTCGTAAACAATATAATGACAACAGTGTTTGTGCGGTTATGTGTGTAGTATACAACAAGTGAATATATACCAAATAGTCCTTATATTGGTCTCACAGGCCATAAAAGTTACTTGAAAAAAAAAGCTATTAGAAAATAAAAGAAAAAAGTAGAAAAAGACAAAAAACTATTACCGGGTGACTGGCAGTCAGTGATGTTGTTCAATTTCTGTCAACTTCATGCCTCATATCTTGGTAAGTATTGATAGCAAAAAAATTTTTTTAGCCTATAACAGATTCTAGGACATAACTAGAAGACAGTAGAACTATATACAAAAGATGAGGTAATTCACAGCATTGTGATGGAGGAGAATCTCCTCCACTACGATGCTGTGAACACTAACTCCAAGACTGAGGGACTGATTACCTCATCTTTTGTATATAGTTCTACTGTCTTCTAATTATGTCCTAGAATCTGTATTGATAAAGCCACTGGATGGCAAAACGTCTACAATAAAGATATCCAGATGTTGCACCTGTGTCTTAACTTTCATATTATCGGTATTTTATACCTTTCTTGCACAGCCTATAACACTCAAAAAAAAAGAAACTACCATTTAATAAGAAAAAATAATTTTTTTTTTTTTTTAATATTTTTCGACCCTGAGAACGAGTTTGGGAGAGGGCCTCTTGACCCTCGAAGGGTTAAGTGTATTCTAACCTAACCACTCTGTAATCCAGCAAACTCACTAATCCGGCACACTACAGGTCCCAGTGATGCCGGATTAGTGATGGCCTACCTGTGCAGAGATGGGTGACATTTAGGTGTGCATGCAGAAAGCCGAAAGAAGAAGTAGCAGGTGTGCTAAAACCAGTGGAAGTGTTAAAAATTTATATGGTAGACATGTGAAGGATGATGGGATACCCTGTGTATAACTGTTCTTATAACTACAAATGTAGATAATAACTCGTGTGCAATGCTGAATTCACAAATTACCCGCACATAGAAGAGAGGAGCTTACGACAACGTTTCGGTCTGACTTGGACCATTTACAAAGTCAGACCAAGTCAGACCGAAACATCGTCGTAAGCTCCTCTCTTCTATGTGCAGAATATTTGTGTATCGTTCCAGTCACAATATTGTGCCTTTTTTTATTATTAATGCTGAATAATCCACATGTATTTAGGATGTTTTTGCAGATATTAAGAATAATAATTCACTCAAATGTAAGCCTAATTTTTCATTAATGACTCACATTTTTGTTGAATACTGTACAGTAGTGTTCACTGAGTTACACTTTTGTTGAATAGTGTACAACACTGTTCATTGCTTTATGTGGTGGTTAGGTTCCAGACACATCAGGTATCCATCAACACTTAATTTTGTATTAAAGGATTTTCTAATACCCTTTGCAAACTGCATGGATTTTCAATGATGAATATGTATTGTGCAAATGAAATTTTTTATCAAAATGGGGCATTGCATTGTAGCAAATTTGTATTAAGCAGACATTCATAAAATGAAGAAATCTTGTACAGTGGTGTACATTGCTTCATGAGCTTTCCTGATTTCTTATCATATTCAAAATTCATTTAGATGTAATTGTCACATGAAAAACTTGGGGAATTAAAAACTAGAATGGAATATCAAAAGAATTCTAACCATGTAAAAGAACAGAAAACTTATGTGAAGGACTTAAGAGTGATAATGTCAGAGAATCTCACCTTCAAAGACCACAACAGTGTCATTATTACAGCTGGATGGATAATGAGAACCGTACTGACTCACGAAATCATAATGACATGATTGCAAACAAACCATACCATGGGTGGGGTTTGAACCTGCGGTCAGAGAGTCTCAAAACTCCAGACTGTCGTGTTAGCCACTGGGCCAGCTAGCTTTAACGAGAACCTTCCAAACAGTACTATGCACATTATTTGTTAATTACATTTTTCTTTTTGCAGATTAATTTGTAGACATTCAAGCTGAATAATGATGGCAACTTTACCTCCACGCAAAAATCCAACTCCAACTAAAATATTACGACAACATTTAACACCTCTTCAGATCCTCTTACAGATGGGATTTCCTAAACACAGAGCGTAAGTTCATTACCCAAAGCTACAATGAAATACAGGAGGTTCACGACTTACAAATGATCCCAGTTACACACATCTGCACTTACAGATGAGGCTCTTATTACAGCCACTGAGCTAAAGAATAAACACACATGAATATGTAACTATCCTTTGCACTAGTGTTGTCTGTTTAACTCATTTATATATTAAAAACCAGAAATGCAACTCATTGGTATGTCGAAAGCCTCCTATTTATTCACTACTTCTATTATTAATTGAAGTGTAATACTGTACTTTAGTATGTATATTTATGCTATTATATGTCACTAATATTATTATAGTTCAGTAAGGATAATCTCTAAGAATTTCTACTAGAAAAAGAATGATAGAACTATTAGGTAAATGTTCTTGACATTCATCATTTTTACCCTTATTTACAGAATGTTGTCACAGATTGCATTACCTGAAGTTACTTATCTTAACAGGGAAAAGGCTCTAGCAGCAACTGGTCATCGAGGTATTCAGCTTGCATCTGACTGGTTACTTGCTCATGTTAACGACACAACCTTAGACCTAGATTGCCCTCGAGAATATGTGGTATACCTGTGTCCTACGGGTCCTCTACAAGAGCAGATACAGAATTTCTGGGAGGAATCTCTCCAAAAATGCGGTTGGAATGGTGCTCATAATTTGGTGCCACACATCACCCTCTGCTCATTTTTTAAAGTGAGTTTCTGTGTCAATTATCTATTTGTAATTTGCAATTTATGCTTTTTTGTTAGTGTCTTATTAATCTTAAGTTAATCTTAAGTTTGCCCGATATGCTCTGCATGTATAGGGGCTTTCGGTATGTACGCCCAAATGTCATTCTCCTTTGTACAAACATAATATCATGCTGAAATAAATATTACCATTATCATTATTACAGTATACCTTATTACAGGCCTCTCTCACTTATATGGCGGGTTAGGTTCCGGACCACCACCATAAAGCAAATATAGCCTCAAAACGAATCACAGACTTTTTTTTTTTCACTTGCCTATGCATATAAAAGCCTGAAAAATGTTTATACTATCATGTATTAAGTGTGCAATAACACTGGGCCTAAAAACATCAATGCAAAAATAAAAATAATAGATCATTTTTTTAAATTGCCAACAACCATCTTAAGAGCAAAGCATGTGCTGAAAATATAAACATGAATATAATTGAAAAGCGCAGTGTTAGTGAAGCACTCTAAATCGAGTGCCATATTAATGAGGTATGCCTGTATGGTTACTCAAATACACAGCTATGCTCCTGGTGATACTTTCATTAAATTGTTATATAGTGCTATATATTTTAACCCTTTCAGGGTTTCGGATGTACTAGTATGGCTTACGCACCAGTGTCCATGATGTACTAGTACACATAAATTCTAGCGCCTTCAAATCTAGTGAGAGAAAGCTGGTAGGCCTACATATGAAAGAATGGGTCTATGTGGTCAGTGTGCGCAGTATAAAAAAAAATCCTGCATCACACAGTGCGTAACAAGAAAAAAAAAGCTTTGACCGTGTTTTTGGATTAAAACAGCGACTTTGCACTGTACTTTCGTATGGTATTTATTGTTGTACTCTAGTTTTCTTGGTCTCATTGTATATAATGGAAGACATATTACAGAAATTGAGATGATTTTGACTGGTTTTACAATGAAAAGTACCTTGAAATTGAGCTCAAAGTAGCAGAAATGTTTGATTTTACCAAAGTTCAAAAGTAAACAAATCATGGTAAGCATCCAATACACCTCAACTGATGAGTCTAATATTCTTTCACAAGTGCGCTGATATTATTTATACAGTTTCTACACTAATGCAGTAGTCTGCATAACAGTAAATCTTATTTTTTTTTGTGAGAATAAAAATTCCAAGTGGAAAGCAAAAAAAATGTAAGAGGGGCCTGGGGACGTGACTAATGAACAGAGGAAATGTTATTTTAGTGCCAGGAAGGTCTTTCTTGTTTATTCTGGACCCTATTTGGAAATTGGCATCTTTTGAAATTTGTGTGAAATTGGCAAAATTGCTAAATTCTGACCACTGTATTGGATAGTTGAAATCGGTAAATTGGTGGTTTCTTGTACTCATTCGATAGAAAAAATGGAGTTCTAGTGAAATAGTTATAATTTTTGTCGACTAGTACATTGGAATTGGCCGAAAATAGGGCTCAAAGTGGGCAAAATCGCTGATGCGTAAACATCGTTGAGACCGCTAACTTCGCGAGAGCATAATTCTGTAAGTTTTCCATCAAATTTCATACTTTTGGTGTCATTATGATTGGGAAAAGATTCTCTATCTTTTCACAAGAAATTTTTTTTTTTTTTAAATTGGGGGGACCCTGAGAACAAGTCTCTGAGAGGGCCTGTGGACCCTGAAAGGGTTAAAGCTCTGATGTGGAAAAAAATTCTTCCTCCATAAGTCATGCATGTCATAAGAGGCGATTAAAATGCCAGGAGCAAGGAACTAGTAACCACTTCTCCTGTATAAATTACTAAATTTAAAAAGAAAAACTTTAGTTTTTCTTTCTAAGTCACCCTGCCTTGGCGGGATACAGTCGGAGTGTTGAAAAAAAAAAAACAGTGTAAACACTTCTTATGCCAGTCCACAAAGGATGAGATGCAACATAAATTAATAACAACAGGCCAGATTCTAATTTGCTATTATTATCTAAAGAATTTAAAAAAATAATGCATAAACCAATGCATGCATTCCTAACTAAACCAATATTAAACCTTGCTGGTTTGGTTTCAGGCTAGGAAAAAAAAATGAATGATGCAGTAATAGAAATGCTTAAATCAATCTATAGATCCCTGGATAAGTTAGTTTTCAAAATGACATAGTACAGCACATAAGTTAGTAGGGTAAAACAGTTTTTTCACTTTGTAGATGATTTTTTAATGTTCTGTACTTACAGTACCATCTGTTTGTGACTTGATAAAGCCCCCTGCGTGGGCGAAACATTGTAAATAAAGTATCACATTATACTGCTTGAGTGTTTATATTTCCACTTACAGTACCATAATCATGTACACAGCTCCTCTTTTCACCATTCCACATTTTCATTGACTTTCACATAAGCCATTGTTCCACCTGCCAGTGAAAATCACCAGCAGGCAAAACATAATAAACAATGGCTCAGTTTGAAGCCAATGAAGACAGCATACTGTATAACGTAATGTCAATTGTAACAGTCTGGTGATGTCAACTGTAACAGTCTGGTGATGTCAGCTGTAACAGTCTGGTAATGTAATGTCAATTGTAACAGTCTGGTGATGTCAATTGTAACAGTCTGGTAATGTAATGTAATTGTTACAGTCTGGTGATGTCAATTGTAACAGTCTGGTAATGTAATGTAATTGTTACAGTCTGGTGATGAAAACTGTGAGGCTCTTGTGGCAGCACTGAAGGACGTTGTACATAGCATTATGCCCTCCCTTCCCACCAGCCTTACACTTGATAAATATATATCACCAAACTACATGGGGCTGTTTTTAAATGACCAGCAAGCTGACATTCTCAAGAAACTTGCTGTTACATATGTCAAGGAAGTAGCACATATGTGTAAGTACTTTGTCTTGTAGTATTTTGCTTCTCTCATGCTGCACTTCTGCAAGGATTACAGCAGCTTATCTAAAGCCTTTGATTATTTAGAATGAATATTAAAAATATTTTATCATTTTTCAACATTCATTACACTGTATAATGCATTAATTAGCTGAATGTATTTAATATTGCATTTTTTATACAATAAAACAAGCAAGGCAGTTCCTTTGGAAGGAGTATAAACAACAAGTCTGACTTAAGCTGTCAATTACAAGTTTCTCAAACCTAATTGTTGCTGTTTGCCTTTCTTGTTTAACAAAGTTGAAGCTGGGTGTTACGACAAACTGGAGGTGATGGCAGCATGTCTGCCATGGTGCACAGGGACTACTTTGGCTCAAGAATACTGTAAGCAGGATATGCCTGAAGGGAATGAAGACTCATATTTTTTTGTTGTGGCTTTGTTCAAACTTCTGTAATTATTTTGTATTTTAAAATATTTTTGCTAACTTTTAGCATGATTTTTCTCCACATATTCTTCCATTCTTTGATTAGTTTTATTATTTCACAAGTTTAATGAAAGATTTACATTATTTTGCTTATTTAAAAAAATCATTTGCATGGGCACATCTTGATATAATACATTTAAAATATTAATAACATGCCTACTAACAAGTTGGTGATTTCGTACCGGCATTATTAGATCCTCGTAAGACTCATTAAGGTGCTTGAGTGTTTGCTTAATTTATTTTCTTAGAGCAAGATAGTTAATGAAGGTTGTTTAATTTTCTGGAGAATGAAGAATTAGCAGTGTACATAATGAGCAATGTACTACAATATAATGTTTATTTTTTTATGTCGTACAAATAGTGTACTTTACATGTAATAAAACATTGGTTGGGACAAAATAAAGCTGATAATTATGCAGTTATTTTAGGCAAACTAATCCTAATGCTTAAATGTTACTCACGATCTAGACTTAGACTGTTAAGTAGGTAGAAATAAAAAAGGGAGAAGTTTGCTCTTTCAATTCTGAAAACAACAAATGCACGAGAGTAAGGTTGTAGCTTTTTGTGTGAGTAACTATTTCACGATTCACATTCACGACTAACCCATAAGTTTTGAGAGATAATTTTAGACTACATTCTGGGCCATCATTGATTATTACCAAGTCATAAATGAGACACAGATCAGGTGAAGAGGTGCGTTCTGAAGACATGCATATATTCTGAAAATTAGAGCACCTGGCAATATGCTGGGAAAGGCAAGAAACAAAATACAGAAATAAAAACAGGACCAAAATTCATGTTAGGAATGTTATGGATTAGTTGTGAATTGCTCCAGTCAGGGTGTTGTGACGTCTGTTTTTCATTTTGAGATGGTTAGCAGCTTAACTTAGTATGGGTATGTAGTAACCTCAGAAATTTTTTGCATCCTTGATGATGTGTGATGAAAAATTGATTCCGCACGAAAATGCAAGTGTACATTCAAAGTCTTTTTAATGTAATTTTTTTTTTAACATGTCAGCCATTTCCCACCAAGGCAGGGTGACCCAAAAAGAAAGAAAAAGCTTTTATCATCACTCTCTTTGCAGAGGCACTCAAATGCAACAGTTTAGATGTCCCTCCAAACTGCCAATATCCCAAACCTCTCCTTTAAAGTGAAGTCATTGTACTTCCCATTTCCAGGACTTAAGCCTAGCTAACCGGTTTCTCTGAATCCCTTCATAAAATATTACCCTGCTCACACTCCAATAGCTCATCAGGTCTGAGAAACCATTTGTCTCCATTCACTCCTATCTAACACACTCACACACACTTGCTGGAAGTCCAAGCCCCTCACCCACTAAACCTCCTTTACCCCCTCTTTCCAACCTTTTCAAGGACGACCCCTACCCTGCCTTCCTACCCCTATAGATTTATACACTCTCCAAGTCAGTCTGTGCACTGTGTTCCGTTATCTATAAATGACCAAACCATCTCGACAACCCCTCTTCAGCCCTCTGACTAATGCTTTTAGTAACTCCACACCTCCTCCTAATTTCCACACTACGAATTCTCTGCATAATATTTACACCACACATTGCCCTTAGACACGACATCTCCACTGCCTTCAGCTGCCTCCTCACTGCAGTATTTACAACCCATGCTTCACACCCATATAAGAGTGTTGGTACCACTATACTACTCTCATACATTCCCTTCTTTGCCTCCATGGATAACGTTTTTTGTCACCACAGATACCTCAATGCACCACTAACCTTTTTTTGTTCATCAGTTCTATGGTTAACCTCATTCTTCATAAACCCATCCGCTGACAAGGCAACTCCTAAATACGTATCTGAAAACATTTACTTTTCCATACTCCCCCTCCAACGTGATATCCAGTTTTTATCTAAATCATTTGATACCCTCATCACTTTACTCTTATCTGTGTTTACTTTCTACCTTTACACACCCTCCCAAACTCATCCACTAACCTTTGCAACTTTTCTTTAGAATCTCCCAAAAGCACAGTATCATCAGCAAAAGTAGCTGTGTCAACACCCATTTTGTATTTGATTTCCCATAATTTAATCCCACCTCTTTCCCCAACACCCAAGCATTTACTTCTTTGACATCCCCATCTATAAATATGTTAGACAACCATGGTGACATTACACATCCCTGTCTAAGACCTACTTTTACCGGGAAGTATTCTCCCTCTCTTCTACACACCCTAACCTGAGCCTCACTATCCTCAAAAACTCTTTACAGCATTTAGTAACTTACTACCTATTCCATACAGTAGATGACAGTTGAAATAGATGCAGGTTGAAACAAATGAAAGTTAAAATAGTGAAGCACTACATAGGTTCACTCAAGTACTGTATTATTAATAATAATATATTTTATCATGCTGTATTTTTTCTTGAAGCAGGGATGGGAAATATACTTCTTCAGAATTATGTACCAAAGCACACCAGGTGTACATTTCATACTACCATATTAAATGGTGTAAAAGTTTTGATAATTTTTGGCAATGTTTCTTTCACTGTTTAGTGAATGTAATTACAAGAGGATCTCTCATATACAGCACTGATTTTCAATTTTCCACATTTTCTTTGGCTTTCAATTGAGCCGTTGTTCCACCTGCTGGTGACAGTCGCCGGCATGTGGAACATAATGAACAACGGCTCAATTTATAGCCAATGAAAACATTGAACACTGAAAAAAGGGTTTTGTATATGTTGCATCTTCCTGTATATAAACAAAATACGTGTAGTCTCGACATATTATTTAGCTTATTACGTATTTCAGGTAGAAGGGTGGTTGGTGTTGGTCACCCATGGAGGCACTACCATGGGAGAGGTAAAGGGGTTATCTTTTCTCCAATTTTCTTTCTGTTTTGACATTATTTATTCTCAAGTCGCACTTGGTGATCTGAAATACTACTGTACAGTAAGTCCTCAACTTACGAACACACTGGGGACCTCCTGAATTGTATATAATATTCATAATACAGGAAGTCTTCAACTTATGAATGTGTTGGGGACCTTCCATATTGTGTATAATAATATATTAATGATATGCACAATAATGATATAATATTATACATGATACACAAGAGTCTCAATGTGTTTGTAAGTCGAGGACTTATTGTATTAACTTAATTCCACATTGTCCTTTCAGTGAATGTTTTTTTTTGATCTCTTTCTTTGTTATTTATTATTTTCTTTGCTTGTGCCTCTTGTCTTCTACTTCCTTATTTCTGTTTTCTTGCTTGTGTATGCTAATTAAGTTCATCTCATTCTACATATTCTTCATCCCTGGTGCTAGAAATGGTGACTGCTTCACTTGTGTAAAAACCAAACTGGCATGATTTATTTTTTAAATAAATATTTGTTTGGGTTATGAAGCTCATCTGCATATAAAATTTTGGGAAGATTCTTCATTGTAGCTGCTCCTCGAGTCCTTGAGGTAGGAATGAACGAACTTGATGGTTTGCTAACATTCGTGTTTTTCTTCTTTGTGTGCTGCTTATAGTTGATGAACGAGCCGTCATTCCTTCTCTATGCTCTTCTGTTAGTGCAAACAAGACACAATAGCTTCAGCATCATGACTCGCGAAATTGTAGCAACGCGATTGGAAACAAATCATGGAATACACACATACACAAATAACCCGCACATAGAAGAGAGGAGCTTATGACGACGTTTCGGTCCAACTTGGACCATTTACAAAGTCACAAGTTAAATCATGGAATAGGCGGAGTTTGAGCCCTCGGCAAGTGGGTTCAAATCTTACTTGTTCTGTGATTTGATTACCATGTTTTCCGACATATATAAGCATGCTTTTTTCTCCACTTAAAGTCTTGGAAAATCAGCCTGCACCTTATATGCTCAAGGTCAGGGCCAAGGGTAGGCTTTGGATTAGGCTTTAGCAGTTGTTTACTATCGTTACATTACAACTGCTTGGATACATCATCTTATTTGTCTCATATGATTGTGCACCTTATATGCCGGAAAGTACGGTAGCTTCAACATCGTCTAGGATTGTCTAGAAAATATTCCTGCTGGTGCTGAAGTTTTTATCATTGTAAGGTTAGGATATGTCAGTGATTTATGTTTATGAAGGGCTCTTCAGCTGTCACAGAAACGTTTAGTAACATAGGTTAGCTACTGCTCAGTTACTGAAATATTTGGGATTGATTCTTCAGCTGTTACTACCATTTGTAGTATTGTGAAGTTATTGAAAAGTCAGTGACGAAAATTTTGGAGGCAGATTCTTCAAGTGTAAGGCACAGTAAAATGAAGAGAAAATTTTGTTCATCTGTGGATACATATCCTTTTCTCATCAACCGCTGCTTATTGTATTGTTCATCGCAACACTTACACCAGCAGTTCCCAATCTTTTCACCAGCAGGGACCCCTTGCATTTAAATTTTTCCTAGGGTCCCCAGGTTTTTGAAAGGTCTACCTACTCGACAAATCAATTTTATTAACTAACAACAAGCTCGTTTTCTCAGTTTCATCTCTCAGTTGAAAGACAGACATAAATGAGTATTCAATTCATTAACTGGCAGTATTAAAAACACTAGAAATGGCTTTGACTGGGTAGGGTTAGTAGTCCTTGTTTCAGTCGTGAAGCCTTCACAAGAGCTTATCGGAAGTTTGTCTTTGTTTACCTTATTATGGATAATTATACATTTTACACTGCAGCTTCTTGAAATTTTGAACTTAGCTAATGGGCCCCCCAGTACTACCTTTGTGGACCCCAAGTATTACCTTTGTGGACCCCCAGTACTACCTTTGTGGACCCCAAGTATTACCTTTGTGGACCCTCAGTACTACCTTTGTGGACCCCCAGTACTACCTTTGTGGACCCCCAGTATTACCTTTATGGACCCCCAGTACTACCTTTGTGGAC